GTTAATTGCTTCTAAGCCTGAGCTTGAGACAGACCCACAGCGCTATGCTTAGGACCAGAAAGCAAAAAAAAAAAGCATGCGTGCATCGCCACCTAATGGTATTTATACCTCATGACAGTCTTGGGTCCAAAGGGTGAAACTCGTAGTAAAGAAGTAAACTTGGACTTCACCTTCCAAATGCATATCCCAACTTTCCAGCTACAGCTCATGGAGCTCTGGGCAGTGCTGCCTCGATGCCCTATTCCAATTCCTGTATTTTTGGTGGCTCCCAGCTATTTCCCCTATGCTTCCCAGCTATTCCTTTAGCACAGAGCTTTGGACCCTTTTAATATTACTTCCAGCTGTTATCACTCACTTCCCCAGATGTTGGGTCAGGCTCTGAGGATAGGTTTCATCTACTGCACGACTGTTGCCTAGGACTAACCTGCCACTTCCACCTCTATCTTATGCTCCAGGGCCCAGCATGCCTGTGTGGATGAGCCTTGGGTCAGTGGGCTTTGGAAAGAAAGTGCATTTTATCCCTAGTTGGACTCCCAGGAGCTGAGCTTTGACTCTCTTGGAAGCAGGGGCAACCTTTGTGACCTCTCGCTATACGTTAGTGGTGTCAAATCACAACTTCTAAACATTGGCTGAGTGGTTCCCGTTGACTTTTGAGAGCCCAGGGACATTGGAAATCCTGAGCCACCAGTAAGGAAGGAAGGGCCTTTGTGAGAGGCTAGACTGTGCTGTGTCTGTGAACATGCCACCAGGCTGGGCCAGCACCTGCCCTCTTCTCCCTAGGCTGAATACTTCTCTCCTTAGCTTCTCCCAACAAAAAGAGAGTGGGCCATCCTTCTTTCAAAGGCTGGAAGGACAAAATCCACGGAAGTTAAGTCACTTGCCCATGATCACGCATGGAGCCGAGAGGAGAAAAGCAGGGAGGTAGGTTTCTCACCTTCTAGGCTTTGGTGCTTCCTCTGGAGTCAGGCTCGCCTGGGCTTCACAGAAACCCCTGCTGAACTTCCTTCCCTGTGAAATGACACTTACATTGCGAAATGCATCTTGTTGTTTGGAAGACAAAGAGTTGTCAAGTAACAGGCCCCAAATCTGCTGCACCTTCCTGGAGAGTCCTGTACAGGAAGCTGGAACCATTGTGTTAAAGCAAACAGATGAACTATTCACATGCCTCCCCCTTTTGCTGAAATAGTAGAAGTGCTGCTAGGAGGGGCTGGGGAGCCCGGCTGTGACAATTCTCTCTCTACCCACTCTCCTGTTTCTCTCCCTTTCTCTCTTTTTTTCTTCTCTTTCTTCTCTATCCGTCTCTTGAATCCTTTCCTCAATAAATTCCCTATAGAATTTGATCAGGCTTTTCTTTTTAAAAGAATATCCAGGAATTATTTTAGCTCAAAAGAAAATCTTTCCCCCAGTTTTATAAACATTCTCCATCTAAACCTTAAGGATCCCTTAAAGTCAGCCTGTCCAAAGTTGGCCTCATGACCTTTCCTCTGTACTGGGTGGACTGAGGCAGGAATCCATGGGGCCTTAATTCCATCAAATGAATGTGATGGTCATTGTCTGATCGAAGCGGTCCCATTCACTCTTTCCCCGGTGCACTCAGCATGCTCTATTAAGAGGTGGAACTAAATGTGACTGACTGGAGCTGACCAGAGAATGTTGGACAAGCTCAAGATGCCCCCTCACGTGCTGGGCACAAGAGAGATCAGCCACCTATTAACGGGACTAACTGGAACTCTTTCCAGAAAAAAAAATCGCTAGCAACAAATTGTCCTTTATTATGAGTCCAGGTCTCCATCCTAGGGTGGGGAAAAACTAGGACCCTAAGAAGTAATTGCCTCTTTTTGCCCAGGACTTGCCCAGTTTTGAACTGAAACTTGAGTCCTGAGTAAAGGACCTCTTAGTAAAGGATAAATCAAGACCCTAATGTTGTGTTGCTGTGGAGCTGATGACCTCATCTCCTTCACCTTTTCTTATATGGTTGCTACAAATGTTCAAATCTGTGAGTAGTCAAGACTCATCTCTTCCCTGAAATCCACCAGGCATCCAGCCTCCAGACACACTCCCCCTCCGTCAGCCCTGCTCCATGTCCCCAAACCTGGCTCCACTTTTCATTTCCAATCAATACTCTTCTGGCTTATTCTATCCACATTCAAGGTTGAAATATTTATCATCTTTGCTCTGACTCTTTTCTTTATTCCGTGCAATGAATCACCAAGTTCTATTGATTTATATTTTGAAATATCTGTGGGATCCATCTTTCCCTATCCTGACTACCATCATAATAATGATTGTAAGAACAAACACCAATGTGAAGGAGCAAGTGGAGAGGCTCCAAGAAAGAATGGAAGGAGAGGAAAAGGAATCAGTAAGTCTATAGAACTTAGAATTTCTCAAAATTATTTGATGGTGAAACTTATTTTTCACAGCTCAGGTCATGGGACCATCGTTCCATGAAATACAATTTAACAGAGCTCATCGAGTCCACAGATGCACTGTTTTCCAGAATTAGAATGCTGAAGGACATCAAGTTAAGCTCTATAACTGTATACATGGAAAACCCTGAGACCATGGGGCTACAGCAGCCCGATCCACATGGTTTACCTCAGGAAGCCCTGGCTTTGAGGCAGGCCTCCTGACTTCGGAGCTCTTCACCCTATGTTATCCACTCCAACACAGGCACCCTGTATTCCGCGGCTCCTCACTGGAATAGCCTTCCCTGCTCCTCACTGAAACCCCACCATAATTTAGGGTCACACTCAGCTTTTAGCTCCTCTCCATTACTGCAGACCACACCAATCCACACTGATGCCAACTTTTGGTAAATTACTCTTGCAGTTCGTTACTTCTATCCCCATTCAGTTTGTTAAGCTGATATCTGGCATTATAAATACCCAGCGCATGTATCACCACATGCTTCGCTTGTGACCGCAGCATTCATTTCTAACCTCCATGCTTGTAAAATGAACCTACAGAGCTCCAGGATCTTTTTTAGCATTATACTCCAGAGGGCGAGAGCCAACCAGCCATGGTGAGCATGGGAGATGAAATTCCTTCAAGGTCCTGACTTTGTCATTAAACTTTTTCACATATGCGTCTGTTGGACCTTCCTGAACAGCAAAGCCAGGCTTTTCAAATTCTTTCACATGACCATGCACTCCGAGTATAGTCCTTTGCTCGATAATTGTTTGAATGTCTGAATATCAAATGTTAGAATGATAACTAACATTTACATAATGCTTAGTTACAAAGTACTTTCACACACGGTACCACATTTAATTAATTCTCCTAACAACTGTGGGAAGTAGGCATGATTACGCTCCCCAGTTCCTACTAGACAGTGAGTTTCTGAGGCATAGGACTGCTTCTTACGGCCCTGCAGGTTTCAGCTCAGAATACGCTTTCCATTTTGGGGAACTGAAGTGCGAATTCTGAGGATGAGGCACAAGGGCTGTGAGGGTTTGTAACTTGCACCAGGGAACCCCCTTGCCTCTGTGCCGTGCGGCCTGGCTAAGTCTTGGAGGTGTTCTAAGGCACTCGAGCCCTGAATCCTTTGCATTCTTCATGTTTGAATTCCACTGTCACTGCCTTTTCTTTCTTCCTGGTAATGAAGCAAAACCTTGTAGGTTAATTAATCCTTCTCAATGCTGGGCAGCGGTAATAGGATCAAGAAGAAAGCCTTTTCGTCCTGTGCTCCCAGCGGTGGCTGGTGGGAGCCCATGAAGAGATGGAACACAGCCTTCAGTCTGTTAATTGTTCAATAGCAAATCACCTGTCAGACGGAAACAGAAAAAAAGACACCACTGAATTCAGTCAGAACAATAAATAATATTCAGTGCTATACACTTAAGAAAAATAAAGCTGCCGACATTCTGCTTTGCAGGGAAAACAAAAACGCTCAGCATTTCCGCAGACCTGTGGAGTACAGGGTGATGTGGTAGGAAATACTGCAACCTGTTCAGACTGCTTGTTTTTTATCAATGCAGAGCCCACCAATCCCTATTCCGCATGCAGCACCCATGCCCCAGTGAGACAGAGATGGATAGCAGGGCACAAAAATGATTGTGCAAATAGGATAACTGATTTCTGAATTAATTTAAATCTCTCTGGGGGATAAGGAGCATATAGCAATCACCTCATGCTACTTTCCCTGCTTCACTCCTGTACTCCCAAATCTACCTTAATCAGCTCCCCAGAGACTTAAAGATAAAGCCTGACTCCATGATCTGGCCTCTCTCTGGCTCTGCAGCCATACACCCCTGGCTTCAGCAGCACCAAACTGCTCATGGTAACACTCAGGACGCCGCTCCACTCTGAGCCTCTGTCTCTTCTTTTTCTCCATCAGGAGTGCCTCTTCTTCCACCTGACTAAATCCTCCTCAGACCTTAAGGACCATCTCCTCTCCTGTCACCAGTTCCTCACCTCCAGCCTGTGCTATCAGAACCTCTACCGGAGGCTCTACACTCTAGTCACACCCAGCGCAGCAGCTCAGTGCTGTGGTCAAGCAAACAGATCCGTGAACCACAAAACCCGGGTTTGAGTCTCATCTCTGCTGTGTATTGCTTGAGCTTCTTGACTGCTGGGTGCCTCTGTTCCTTTAGAGGGGTGGAGATAATAACAGTTCCTACTTCTTTGAGTTGGGTGAGAACCAAATTATTTAACATGTGTAAATTACTTAAAAGAGCGCTTATTGTGAACTATGATAGCCATAAATTATATTTCACTGTAACAGTTGTCAGGTCTTCCTGTCTAAGCTGTGAGTTCTTTAAGGGAACAGTCCATTATCTCATCCATTCCTTTAAGCCCAGCACTTCTCATCGTGTTCCCAAATACCCGCCTCCCTCTTCCCTATGTGGATGAACCATCCCTCCCCATTGACTGTGACTTCCTAATGTTTTCCTAAAGGAAGGGTAGTTTCCCTGGCCATTGCATCACACATGATTATTGACTTGTTTTAGCCAATGAGATGTGAGTGGAAATGACAGTCAGCCAGTACCAAAAAGAAACTTCAAGAGGCATTGCATGATTTCACCTGCTCCCTTGCCCCTCTGCCAGGAGGCCAGCCCATCCCAGATCGCCCCTTGCAGAGGCTGCTCCTTCATCCTGGACCCCAGAGGCCAGAACACAGCTTGGAACAGGATCACGACCACAGCTGACCTGCAACAAGTGCATAATATGAATAAGAAACAGGTATTTGGTGGTAAGCCAATGGGGTTTGTTTCTTACCACATCATAACCTAGTGAATACAGCAGCTAGTAAAGGTTTGTTGAATGAATAGAGGCACTGATAAAAGAATGAATTAGTGAGTGAGCTATGATAGGTACAATTTCCAATTAGGACAATAGCTGTGTATGTACATCACCAAACTGAATTTAAGCCCATGCTTTTTAAGTAGTGAATGTGTTTTCTGACATGTATTTCGAATACAACACTTGTAAACAAAATGTGGGACAGTGATTGTATAGTCATCCAGACACATGGAGAATATCCATCCCTAGGCCCAAATGAAAGTAAAGGTGGCAGTCGGGTGAGCATTTCTTGGGCAGCTACTAGGTTTCAGCACTTTACATCTGCCAGCTCAGCAGGACCTTTCAACAATCCTAGGAGCAAACTGTGTTTTGAAATGTGACAACTGAGGCTTAGAAGCCACGGGAAAGTCACCAGAGATAAGTGACCATCCACATGTAAGCCAAGATCAATCTGAGTACAAAGCCCATTCTCTCTCCACTAAAGGATGCTGTCACCATGGAAGTGTTTGAAGACAGCCTGGGAACACCTGGCTGTCCAAGGAACATCCTCCTATGCTACATACTTCTGCACTATCCTTTGGCACATGGTTCAAAAATTTTAACGGTTAGAGATCCAAGCGAAACGATTTGAAAATGCAATAGTCCTGCTGGGATGAAGCAGACCCTCAGGCATTTATTCTCAGTAAATGGATTTCTTTAACCAGATTGTTATCTTAGCCACAAAATTAAAATCTGAGAAAAGAGAATATGCTAGTTTGGATACAATGGAAGCATTCCAAATAGAAAGAGTACATTCCATCTGGAGTTTCAAACTTCGATGCCTCCTGGGCCAAGTAAGTAAGATAATAAATGAAAAAGGCTGGGTGTGGTGTTGGCAAGGTAGAGCCCACATACCTGGTCTAAGGAGGACAGTGACTGGTCAGTCCCAGTTAAATTGCTACCATGCTGGAATGCCATCTATGTGAAGTCTCCAAATGTTGAAATGTTGGCAACAAATTCAGATTGTTTTTTCAGTATGTATATTCCAAGCCCTCTTCAAAGGCTCTCATGTGGTTCTGACCTACATGCCGCATAATTGTGATGCATAGGGCACCTGGGGTAACTGCAGGCTTGGAGAGACCCATGCTTGGAGGAAAAAGAAGGGGGGAAGGCAGAGTATAAAAGCCTTATGCTTAGGAGCGAGAGGGGAAAGGGCAGGGATGGCACAGGGCAAGCACAGAAGGTAAGTGCCAGAAAACAAACTTCTTTTAATATCATGGACTTGGACTGACTTGGTTCTTTCTCATTTCAACACTGCCTCAAATAAAAGCAAATTCTGATAAGAAAAAGCCATTTGTTCCCAAATAAACTTCATTACTCTGCTAAATATCTTTACTGGATTTCATTTGATCCCAGTCATTCTCAATTCAATATTGCACTTGGCCAACTTAACCTTTTAAAAGGAGTTTTATTGATGGTGTGCTATGCAGGCATTAACATTTCTCAAAAAAAAAATAGAAATAGAAAGAATTAAATTGCTTTGCTTAGCGATCTTAATTATCTGGAATAATTAGCTCCAGTCAATTCTCCAACAAAAGCTCTCTAGAGAAATCACTGTTTGGGGAAAGGGAAAGAAAAGGAGGGCCAAGCTTGAGACAAAAGCAAGCATTTGGCAAGTTATTTGGAAATAATCTAATTAACCCCGAGAGTGAGGCTGGCAATCAAAAGCCACTTCCTTTGTGTTTAATTATTAAAAGCAAATAAAGAAAGTAAACATTCAGGGAGCTGGTCTGCTGGGTACTGGAAAAGAGGAGCCACTCAGAGCCACAGTATTCAATGATGCCCAGACATACAGGCTTGTCAGCTCCTATGCTTCTGTTCCTGCAGATCCCTGCTTAGGAGAGCCTCCCATCACGTCTCGCCTCAGAGACTCTGGTCAGTCCTTTAGGGAGTCTCCTCTGAACCCCTCCTCTCTCCCCAGCCAGAGAAAATTGTTCTCTCCCCTGTGCTTCCATAGCCTTTTGGACATAAGACTCATTCCACTGTGTACTCATTAGATGCTTGTCTGCGCCTCTAGACTGTAAGCTTTGCACAGCTTGGGTAAACGCTTATTCATTTCTATATCTTCAGTGCCTGGTATAATTGGAACAGAGTAGGCTCTTGATTAATGGAAGTTGAATAGTGGATCAATAGCTTTTTGTGCAAAGCCTGAGACACAGTAGAAACTCAATAAATCCTTGTTTTCCTCCTTCCTTCCTCCCTTCTCCCCTTCTCCTTCCTTCTTTTTTATTTTTACTTCCCTTCAGGTGACACAATTAAAAGTATTGACTCAGAGCTGCTGGCCCAAACAACACTGTCCCTCTGTGTGAGTTTGTTCATTTGACTTGTGCTTAACTTTCACTAGGTCGGGGCAGATCACAGTGAAGTGGCAGAGAGATCCCAGGGCGAGGGTGGTAAGCGGGCACGCCCAGGAAGGACCCCACTGGGAGGGAAGCTTCTCGATTCACAGTCGCTGCACTCGGGCTGCAGCGTGTGAAGCTCTAGACCCTGAAAGACTGGAAAGCAGTCCAGGAGAGGAGGGAACACAGGAAAGGGAGGAAACCCCAGTGATATTCAAGACACCTGCTAGCGTGACTCAAGGTGATTTGGCAAAATCAGCCTATATCTCTGCCTTGAGGACTGTGGGAATCCTGGGGCTATTTGTAAATTTGATTGATATATTTGCCCCTGAGCCCAGAGCTAAGTCTTAGAGACTGAGTACGAATTAATTGGGTGAAGAAAGTGGAAGGGTCTTCTGCAAGGAGGGAATAGCATAAACAAAGGCACAGGATCAAACATCACGGTGGGAATGGGAATCCAACCCAGGCAGTTAGGTGTTTTGCACGAATGTTACTCTTCTAAAAAATGCAAAGAGCAAGTAAGGAAGGTGCTAGACTGGTGAGGTCAGAAAGAGACATTTAGAGTCACTGCTAATTTCTGGGCTTAGATGTACCTGCGGAGTAACGGCTCCCCACCAGGCCTCCTCCATAGTTTCAGTATCAGGGTATACTGCCTGCTGGACATTGATCCTCACTAGGGTGTCCCATAAGCACCCCAAATTCAACATGCACAAAAATCGGCATTTTATGTTTTCCCACAAGCCTCCTGCTCTTCTTAATAACCTGTTAACTGCACCATCCTTTTCCTAGTTGTCTACGGCAAAATCTTGGAAATCATCCTTGATCCTCTTCCCCTTCCTCCAACATGCAGTCAACCAGCATGTCATGAAGACTCGACCTTCTGACATTTATTGAGTCTCTGCCTGCTTCCCTCTTCCTACCATCACTGCCCTCATCATCTTTTGCCCTGGACAGTAACCACCCAATAGGCCCCCCCATCTCCAGCCTCGCTTACCTTAACTTTGGCCCTCCTACCTATCATTCCTCTGCCAAAACATTTTCATCAGTGCCCCAGCATGTACAGGATCAAGTCCAAAATCCGAGACATGCCTGCAAGGATATGTGAGACCGGGCCCTGTCTATCCCTCCTGCTTGCTAACTGCCCGCTTCCGTATTGTCTCTTCCACTCTGGGAAATCTACACGGCCTGGAATCTCCCAAATACTCCCTTCTGTCACCCACTCCTGAGGCTCTGCTCCTGCTCACCCTGCCTCCTGAACACTCTTCCCAGCTGACTTCATCTGCCTCTGACTCACCTTTCAACATTCAGTTCTGGCATCCTTTCTTCTAGAAAATCTTCCCCCAAAGCCCAGGCTCCAACCGCCCACCTCCGGGCTCCTGCAGCTCCCTAGGCACACCTCTGTCCTCATCATGGCATTATCTGATCACAGTGGATCTTTCTCTCTAGGTTCTGACGCCTTCAAGGACAGCTGCCGCCATGTTCTATCCATTTTGATAGGTCCAGATCTTTACATGATGCTTGGCACTCAGTTACACATGTTTGTTGAACTGCCCCTCGAGGCCATGGCCCCTGAGATGTCTCTTTTGGCGAATAGAAAAGCTCGGGCTGAGCCAAGCTGTGCCTGCTTCCATGCACAGCAAAGGAAGGTCAGAACAGCTGAGAACTCCAGAGAGCTCTGGGAAGTATTATTCTTTTTTAAGGTAAATTCAGAAAGTGAAAAGAGCACAGATTATGGAATCCAAATAGACCAGGTTGAAACTACAGCTCTACCACTATCAGCTAGCGCAATCTTGGGAGAGCTATTCAGTCTCTCTGGGCCTTTGGTGACTTGCCTGTAAAACTATGAATACTTATGAGTTTAACTGGGGGAACAATGTAAAGCCCCTTGCACAGTAGCTGGCACAACGTAAATAATAACTGTTAATTCTCCCTTGTAGCTTTCTTATTTCTGGAGAAATGGAAGATCTCAGTAGCCTGGAATATATGGACTCTGGTTATCATAAACACAAGATCTTTTTCGTTTTTGCATAACTTAAAAATTTGTCATTTATCATTTCTAACTATATTATTAATTATCATTAATTATAAGTATTATTAATACTAGTTGGCTTCCCTCTGTTAAGTGCCTATTACATGTCAGCTACTTTGCAAGGTCCTCAAGGAAGGGCTCTTCATAGTTCTGGTGATGACGGTGATGATGATGAGAATTAGCACTTTACTGAGTCCTTACGCGTGCTAAGCACTCACGGTCCTTATGAGATGGGTAGTGTATCCCCATTTTACAGATGAGGAGACTGAGTCTTAGAGTCATTAAATAATTCATCCAAAGTACACATGATGAAGTAATAAAATGGGACCAGAATTCAAGTCTGTCTGACACCAAGGACTTTGATCTTTTTCACCTTGCTATACAATCTCTCTGGTATTATAAGTAGTTCCATTAAAACAAAAGTGATTGTTTTATTTTATTTCTAACACCCTTCCTGGTAACTCCCTCTGCATTTTTGGTCACTCACTTTATAGGGCTCAGCAAATACTGTGGTGGACAAGAGAAATATTGGATAATTTTTAACCTCAAGCTAAAAATTACTCACTGAGTAAGTGAGATTATAGGAGTCACTGACGGTGACCTGCTAGGGAAAGAATACTTTGTTGACTGTCTTTACGAAGAACACCTACCCATATTACTGACAGATCCTTGTCTGGAAATTCTGGCAACATGTAATAGTCAATAAGGGACTTATAATATACTTACTATACTGTATTGTACTTGAATGTGCATAGACTGAATTTCGAATTGTGAATTTGCTTTAATTAAGGCTGACTCTTTGGTCCTGAGAAACTTAAAGAACTAGAGTTAATTACTCAGTCAGCATAAATGCAGTGGGTCCCTGATAAATCCCAGGCTCTATGCTAATCCGAATATCCAGAGCTGATTGAGTCACAGTATCTGTTCCTAAGGTGCCCACTGTCTTGCAGGCGAGGCTCACGGAGAAATTGATCTCATGCAAGATGACAAGTGGAAGTTCCCATCTGTGGATCTAAAGGGGGGGTTCCAGTATTTTGGGAGAGTTCTCAGCGCCCTGTAGGGAACTCTCTTCTTCATCTTATCCTCAGAAATGAATTGGCCTGAAAAACCTCAGCCGGGTGTGCACAGCGGACTCTTTGCTCCCGTGTGGACTCGCTCATGGACGATCTTCTTGGGCCTGGGCAGAAGAAGGTGGACGAGGCTTCTGTGAATGCTGAGTGTGAGTCTCCTCCCCTGCAGGCTAGGAACACTTTCTGCCTCCCAACGCGGTCATGTGCCACCCACCTTCTCCAGCTCCAGCTCTCTGCTCCGTCTTCCCCACAAATTCTCAAGCACGGTGCTAATCCTCAGGTGGACTGGGAGGTGCTGAGCAAACATTGGCCCTTGAAAGGTTAATAACTTACAAATGAACTGCAGCTGGCAAGAAAATCAGGTGTATACAAACAGGCAATCACCGTGATGGATACCTGAAACTAATAGGATATTGTATGTCAATTAGATGTCAATCAAAGTGAAATAAAATAAATCAGGGCCTGTGCTGCTGAGATACAGCCATGATGTGCAAGCATCCATCTTTCTCCAGGGGGAATAAAGCAGCAGAGGCAGCCAGCTATCTCCTTTGTAAAAGGTTAGGTGGACGGCACACCTGTTCTCTCCCATTATAACAGTTGGAGTTGTGAGAAGTGTTTGATCAAGCCACAAATATTTCCTACATAAACAAAAATCCAGTGAGGAATATATGCAGCTCTCTCTTCCTGCTGCCAGCTTGGGATGGTCTATTCTTCATGCCAGGAAGGACATCCACTTTTTTGTCAGTTACACATGCTTGCTATCCCATTTGCCAATGACTTCTCTACTGAGACATAGACCTCCTTCCCACTCTGCAAAAAGCAGTCATCTCTACTGGATCCTCAGGGGAGAGAAGGAAACAGAATCCACTTTCTGAAGCTCTACAGTGAAGCAAGGGGCTTCAGTGGGTATACAGGGCAAGCAAGAAAAAGTGGAAAAGCAGAACAGGTCTACAGTGGAACAGGCCCGACACGTAGGAGCCAGGAGCCCATGGGAGTGGGAAGAACCATAATTCTTTTGTCTGGAACCGAGGTGGCTGGGAAGAGAGGAAGATGGCTATATTTAACCGAGGGATTATCATAAGAAGGAGCATACCAAGTTCAAGAGCATGAAATGAATTCATGCTGCAGGAAAGCAATGATGTGTTTCGGACAGGAAGAAATTGCTGTTGTGTTGCACAATAGGTGTTTTTCTCCCCTGCTCTACTTCACTGTGTGGATCGGCACCTACAGAAGACAGGTCGACAAAAGCATTTAGTAATTTTAGTAATTTTCTTAGGTGGAGGCCAAGAGACTCATTTATCGTAATAGCCTGTAAGAGCTGTGCTAAGAAGAATCCCATTTGACTTGAGAAGGTTCAGCCTGGCTGCTGATTGTGATGCACAACCCCCACCCACCCACCCACCCACAGCCCTGCCCAAAGTGGAATTTAGAGGAGCCCACACAAAATCACTCATACATTCCCCACACTCACACACACCTACTCACAGTGGACACACACACACACTCACATTCACACACCCGCTCATACATGCACATACTCACACTCATGCATTATCACAGTCATGAATGCTTACCCTTGCACTCACACACATGTTCACAGCTGCACACACACCCTCACACACTGTCATATACAAGCAGAGGTAATGAATGACCATAGCTGAGGCTGGGAGAACAGGAACCAAGGCCAAGAGTCCTGGTGGAGAGGATTTTAGCCCTTTGTTTCTTCTACCAGAAATGTCCTTCGTGATCATGTCTGTGTACTTCCAAATCTTACCCACCTGTAGCTGCCCTCTGCCAGAGGGTCTTGCCCAGCCCCAGAAAACTGCTCACAATGTCCAGATGGCACTTTAGCAGCCATGTTTCTAGGGATAGCTGCTCTGGCCATAGCCAGTTAGTTTTGGAGCTGAACTCCTGACACTGGGCTTGGTTAATCATATTATATCTCATTATATTATACCTAAAATATATAATCACATTTTATCTCCCCATTTGGACCAGACCACAGAGAAGCACTGGCCCTGAATCATACAGGCAGTGGAACTCTCCAGGGCAGGACCACACATTGAGGACTGCTATTGAGGCCCATGGAAATCTCTGCTTCCCACCCTGCCTGAGGCTTACCCGTTGAGCATTTTCTAAGATCCTGTGAGATTCCACAGCCTGCTCCCTATGAACCTCTGGAGCTGGATTAGCTTTGATTTCTTTTACTTGCCAACAAGAAACAAAAATGCCATCCAGCCTACTTCTAGTCCATCCCCACTCCTTCCAACGCCTCCTGCTAGCAGCGACCTGTTCATCCACAAAGCACCCACAATATTTTCATGGCTTACTGTTTTCTCAGTCCCACTTATTTCTCTCTTCCCTTCAGTACTCGACCATAAGCTCCCTGAAGGTAGAAACCATGTCTTATGCATTGTTTCAGTCCACACCACACCCAGTACAGCACCTTCCTCACAATAGTTTGTGAGGAGCATTTGTTGAATGGATGCGCAAATGTATTATTGAATAAATGAATAAATAAATGACCTTAAGTGGTGCTGCATATTTCTTCCATTTTTCTCGGAATTCATGAGGTCATGATCCTAGAATTGAAACATCCTTGGTTCATTTTATTCCATTTTATCGATTTGTTGACCATTAATCATGCACCAGACACAGGGAACGTACAGATGAGTAAGATATGGAGCCTGTCCTTAAGAACCTGTGATCTCACTGGACTGAGGAGGGGATGGGGTATAAATGAGGCAGAGGAACATGCCTCCTGCCCTGGGAGCAGTGGGAGTGGGAAAGCCACCGAGTGCACATCCATCCCAATCTTGCAACAAGACACATGAAAAGCCATTTTTCAAGCTTGAGTAAGAGGCTTATGACCTGATAGACGATGGCTGGCAAACTCATTTCATCATAAATATCACAGCAGATAATATGCTTCAGTATAAATGATGCATCTGCCTATGCCAGGATCCCCAGAGTGAGTAATGCTCCTCCAATATGGGCTTCTTAAAGATAAACAAATTATGGGCCATAAAATTACCCGATGTTTTAATTTTCTTTTTTATGAGCTTTTCTTCACCATAATCACACCAAGGGTGGGGAGATGGAAGCTAATTCTGGGACTTAAAGAAGGGAATCAAGGGGCCTGCTCCCTCGGCAGTGAGGCGGATGTCAGATAAACGCCTCAAGAAGGAGCCAGCGGTCCATCGCTCTGGAAGGACAGGACTCACCAAGGAGCAAGAGATACAGAAAGTGGAGAAATCAGTGGGAGAGAAGGTGACCATTTCTCAGACATGTATGTTTTTAGAAGATGCCTAAGACATAAAAGAAATTAGCTGCCTTTCTCTAACATGTACACGTGCGTATCACACGCCTAAACACTATGCAAATAAAATGCTACATCTGCAAATAGTCGCCTCGGCAGAGCATGGGCCCAGGCTTGCACACTCGCCAGCCCCCTGGGACTCCTGATATTGGCGCCTCCTCTTTTCTGGATGTAGTCTTTCCTGTGTCCCCTCCAAAGGTTTATATAAACTTCAGTTTTACATACACCCAAATCCTTCACTTCCTGATAGACTCCTGTCTGCTCTTATCAATTATTCCATCAAAATGTTACTTCTGTGGTTGCTGAGCATGTTGTTACAATTCATATTTGAAAATTACATCTTGCCTTACAGAAGAGAACATTCTCTATTGGGTTAGGATTTTTCTCCTGAGATATCAAGGTGGAGAGGAAGTATGTCGTTAAAAAAAGAAACCAATCATAAACCAAACTGAATACAGTGTAATACAATGAATAACCTCTGGACTGGACGTCAGGAGATCTCAGTTTAATTAGGAGCTTGACCATTTCTTATGCAAGTGACATTTGTTCACTTCTATACAAGTCAGCTTTCTCCTCACTTAAAAATGGGAATCACCCATGTGGCAGGGTGATTGGAGGATTCAATGCAATAATATTTTTTAAAGTCCCTGTCACCTTCTGGGTGTTCAGTAAATATTGATTTCATCCCAGCTTCCTAAATCTGGATAACAAAGGGCTATGAAATGTACACAGCATTCTACTCTGTGCTTCTGAAGGTTCTTTCCCATTAGGAACATTGTCAGGAGGGCAGGTGCGGCAGAAGCGGTTTCTGTATTTTATTGATGAGGACACTGGGGCAAAGGGAGGTCAACAGACTTGCCCCAGGCCCCGTGGATATTAAAAACCCAGATTATTGACTCTTCCTATGGTTTCTGAAGAAGGCAAACTGATTTGGGAGGCTCGGGCTAAAAGGTGGTTCCCTTCATGAAATATTTACAAACCCTGACACTTCTGAACAGAGAACATCCACATGGTTGCTGAACTGTGAGTCCAGCAGATGTGCACTTTGCCCCCAAAGAGAAAGAGTCAGCCAAGATTTGGTGCCAGTAATGCAACAGATGAGGTCAGTGATTTGGATCTGTGAATCCAAAAGCTGTGGCTAGGGAAGACAAGGGCACAGAAACCTGATGATGGGTGTCTTCATTTCCGGGGGCTGATGTTACAAACTGGGGGGCTTAAAACAACATATTTGTCATACAATTTTAGAGACTAGAAATCTAAAATCAAGAGGTTGGCGTAGCCCTGTTCTCTTTGATGGCGCTAAGGAAGAATCCTTCCTCCGCCTCCTCCTGGCTTCTGGTTATTGCCAGCAGCACTTGGCATTCCTGGCTTGGAGATGCATCGCCGCCTCCTGCACCATCACGCGGTTCTCCCTGTATCAGGACACCACCATAGGGAGGGCTCAGGGCTCACCCTACTGTAGAATGGAGTCCTTTTAATTTGATTAATTTCATCTATAACAACCCTACTTCTGAATAAGCTCATGTTCTGAGATCCCAAGTAGGACATGACTTTGGGGAGTGGGGGTTCACTATTTAATCCAGTACAATAAGGAAACAAGAGCCAGGTACAGGAGGAAGACTGAGAAACTTGAGCAGAGAAAACAAGAGAGAGAGCCAGAGGGTGGGGTCGGCGGGGGGGGGCGGGGGAGAGAGAGAGGGAGAGGGAGAGAGGGAGAGAGGCATGACAAAGGCAGAGAATGAGATAGAGAGGCAGGAGGAGATAGAACTAGAGAGACAAAGGAAGAGAGGCACAGAGATGAGGTGGAAAAGAATGAGAAGGAAATGCAAAGGTGCTCGTGAAGGACAGGACACACAGACTCCTGCACACAAAGTGTAAGGAAAGGGGTGGTTCTGTTTGAAGAATCCTCCACCCCGAATAGGCACCTTCTCTCCGTCTAGATGTGCAGTGGGCGGCCCTAGAGTGTTAATGGGGTCTGAACTGCGCTATGACCCAGATATTCTCTTTGGAGTTAATAGAGGGCCCTAGTAAGAAAGACTAGCTAGCTGGGCTCCTGGGAATCCCTAGGGGCGCTCACAGTCCTGCCTGCTGCGAGGACTCAGGCTCCAGCAGCTTCCAATTCTAAAGTTGAGAACCTGGGTGGTGGTCAAGAAAATCTTTTCTTTTTTCAAAAATCCAATTCCAAGGTGGTCACATGTTCATTCACTTTCTATCAAGCAGAAAATGGGCCACCCAGGGAATGTGATGCCATTTCCACCTAAGGAGTACATGTTGGCCTCTGGCAAGCTGCTGAGCATCCCTCTATGCCCATTATTCAACCAGATATTACCCACTATTATTTTTCAGACTCCATATCCTGTTCTTTTTCAAATTCCTGGAGTTTCCCAAGGATCTCCAAAGGGAGGCTTGTCACTTTAGTATCAGCCAGACAAGAGGAATCATAAATTAACAGCAGGAGGAAGGTCTCAGGACTGACCGACAGCTGGTGTGCATGTATATGTGTAGAGTTTCACAGTGAAACAGGTCGAGAGAGAGGAAGTCCATCAATAGAGACCTAACCACACCCCATCTACAGGGCCCTAGAACCCTGCTGTCATTGGAACAATCACTCAAAACAGAGAGTGATACAGAATTTATGAACTAGGGTTCCAGCTTGCTTTTATTTTCTTCTGCTATAATGGAAATTAATTCTGGTTTTCAGGTAACAGTTCCCGTCCCCTCCCCATCATATCAATCCCCACTGGAAAAAAGGGAGCCAGAAGCTTGCCTGTCTCCCCAGGGAACTTTTCTACATCAGCCTGACTTGGCCAGCAGTATGGCTGGGAGGTTTAGGTCAAAGGCCGAAAGGCAGGCTGGAGCCAACCCAGAGCATCTGGGGCCACTAAACCGTAGCAAAGAGAAAGAGCCACCTCCCTGCACTTCCACGTTTGAAGCTCCTGGGCTTCTGAGCTCCCCATCTCCTTCCTTTCCGCAGCAGCAAAGGTGGTGAAGTACACATGCCCACCTCCAGGAACAACCACAGAAAAGTCAAAGGGTTCATGGTGGCCATACAAGGACATACATATGCCTCAGTGGTCATATTTACTCATTCATTATTTTTCTTGCGTATTATTTCTATTTCCACACTTACATTGGACTATGTTGAGCACTGGAGGTACAAAGATGAAAACACTCAGTCCTTAATTTTGATTCAGGGTTAAAACACAGCAAGAGAAAGTAATTCTAGGAGCTGGGGTTTCGGGGTCATAAACTATAGGGATGAATCCTTCTGCCTGCGGGGAGGCCATTCTCGCTCCGCCAGGCAGCTGGGGCAGTTTTGGGTGAAATCACAGAGCAGTGTTTGGGGCCTCTCCCAACTCTGGGCCCCTCCTCTGCCAGCTGCCTATCACCCTCTGACAACTGGCTGACCATTCATCCCCCAAGCTATGGCATTCCACCCAGCTGGCAGGGCACACACCTGAGGGTGAAGCATCTAGGTGAGGTCTAGAAAGCACTGGAAGCTTGGAAATCTGAGAAGTGAGGTGGTCATTCTTGGTATCTTGCCACAAAGATTCATGACGGCCTCAGGGTTCCAGCCTAAGAGAGAAGGGCAGACAGCCCGGGAGTGTGAAAAGTGAAATGAACAGACATGGGTGCTGGCAGGACTGAGCCAAGCCTGCAGTGACACGATGTGCCCATAGTCCTCTTCCTGGACTACCACGCAACCCAAGAAATACCCAGCCTTCAGACTGTGACTTCCAATATATTTTTGTGTTTCATGTGGGGATGTTCCTTTTAGCACTTTACCAGAGATGCTCTTACTTGAAAACAACAGAGACAAGCTCAGTGGATTTGTCACCTGTGGGCTGCCGGCCATACCCATCCCCTGCCTGTCCCCTGCTCTGTTCTACGCTGCAAGGAAGGACCAGGCTCCCTCTGGGTAGGTTCTGCCAGTGGTGCCCTAGTGGCAGTGCGGAGGAAGGCAGGAGGGGAGATACCAGAATACTCTCTCCTCCCCTGCTTTGCCACAGGCCATGTCCCTGACTGTGGTTGTGTGTCCTTAGCTTCACCTCCCACCAGAAGGCCGTGATTCAAGCTCACCGCTTAGCCCCTGCCTGTGGGATTAGAAAACACACCTTCTCTCACTGTGACTCCAATTCTGGGGGTGGCAGCAATACCCTGCAACTCCTCATCTTTGGGTTGCCTCCCCACTCCTGGCTGGGTTTTTCAGCCTTTCCACCACCTTGCCAGTTCCTGATATTGCACACCTGCAGTTGAAGGGCCTAGAGTGGTTTCTGTTTTCCTATCTGATATATTCTGGTCAGATAACATCTTGATAAACTCTGATTGGTGTGAGTAGAAAAATAAGTTTTTAGAAGCAGGTTAGTCATTTCCAGCACTTCCAGGAATGAGAGAAGTTATGCAGCAAGACCCAGAGCCAAATGCCCTCCCTGGAAACCACTGTGGGGGGTCATCAGACTCCTGGTGGGCCCAGGGACTAAGGACCACGCTTCCAGACCTGCTGGCACGGCACGCAGGGCCCTAGCTGCTGCCACCCCCAGAAAGTTTCTCCAAAATAAAACCCAGATGGTTTCACCCGATTGGCCTTAGCCTATGTCCTTTATCCAAGTCTAGCTACGGAAGATTGGAAATTGAGTCAAAATCTGCATTTCAGTAAGAATTGCAGGGTCAAAAATGCTCCAAACAGAAGAAAGGAGGTCAGATGTGGGACAGCTAAAAACAAAAACAAAAACAAAAGATAGATACTTATCACAGGAATAAGACCAAGAATTTGGGGCTGAGCGTAATTCTAGCAGCAGGTAAAGAGACTCTGTCTAGGGCGAGTGGGCTGACAGCGGTACAGAGACTAGAACTCTGTCTGGGAGGCTTTGGTCTATGGGCATAATCATAGGGCCTTCCCAGTACCCTTCAAATTAATGCTGGGCGATCTGCATTCATGACTCTATGCCCCACTGGACAGCCTGGCTTCCTTCCCAGGACTGAGTGTGTATCAAGCTAGGAGCACTTTTCAGATCTGAGTACTAATCAAAGACTAATCCCTAATTTTAAAACTAATCTTTCCCCAGTTCCTCAGCCTGAATTCTTCCCTTGTTCTGAGAAGTAGGTCCCCACCTTGCATCTCTAAGCCAGCCACTGGGTTCCTATATTAACCATTCTTCCTGGACACCTGCTGTCCTTAAGGGCAAAGATATACCAACTAGCATCTCCACTGCCTCTGAGATCGGGGTCTTGCCTTGACCCGTCAGTTTTTGCAATGGGGCCCTTTCTGCCTGGTGTCAGAGTCTGTTATACTCTGGTTGTCCCTGACAGCTGGAATCCCGGAATCCCTCCTCTTCTGCTCATCAGAGGCAGCTCAGCACGGCGGAGCAAGGATGCAATTCAGAGTCAGCCAGATCCGGGACTGAATCCCACTTCTCACACTTGCTATTTATATGAAGTTGCCGGGCTCTGAACCTCTGACCTTACAGACTAAGGTTTCTTGTATGACTCTCAGATCTTAGTGTGCAAGTATGTGAGTATCTCCTATCTTGGTGTATTTGTTAAAAGGGAAGATTCCTGGTTTCCACCCCTTAAAATTCAATCCGTTAGATTGGTGGTGATTCTGCTACAGGTGGTCCACAGACCACACTTTGAGAAGCATTGGCCTACGATTTCCCAGGCCCAGCCCATTGTTGATGTGGTTCTGTCAGTCCTTCAGTCAGCATTTCCCAGGTTTCAAGCGGCCTTAGGATTCGAGTAAGGATTATAACCATGTCTTCTTATGCTCCAAAGGGGATGTGTACCTTAGACTCCCCTTCCCTCCAGACCTACTGTATCAGGATCTCGGGGTGGAAACTGAGCAGACACATCAGTGTCTTCTACACAAACCCCAGGTTCAAAAGCCCTGCACCACTGCTTCAGTCCCACACCTGAATCTAACCCCTTCCCCACCACAGCTCCCTACCTCCCTGCCCCCAGCCCCATCCATCCCCTTAACTTTCCTGAAGCCTTCCTTAAGAATGGAGCTTCTATTGTTGATAGATGCTGCTTCTAGCTACCTGTCAAAGGAGCCATCTCTTCATTATCTAAGTTTTATCTATATCCATTTGGCAGAAGGTTAGATTTCATTATGATCATTACCTGCCAGAGACCAAAAGACCCCCACCCACAAAATGGTGAACTTCCTGCTTCTCTTCCCGGTCCTCTGCTCCCACAAGCGCCAACCAAGGCCCAATCACCCCTCTACACCTTCCCACCGGCACCATCTAAAAGCCAATTGTTTTTTGACCCACCCCTTCCTTCCTAACCTGTATAAATTGAGCCTGCAAACAATAAACTGTGCCAGCTTGATCAGACATCCTGTCTTGCTGGTCGTTCTTTGTGTCCCTTGCTTGTTTCATTTCTGCAGGCGTCTCCGGCTACACCCCACGTTCGTCCCGCAGGCCGGGACAATTACCCACATGGACAAGCAGCCAAAGTTTAATATCTTTTGGTCAATAATTGCTTCCCTGACTAATAGGTCTTGGTGGCCATCTAGAGGGAAGCACAGCCTTCTTCTCTACCTGGTCCCCTTTGCTGGCAATCACACATAAAAAAACATGGACCTGGAAACCCACACACGGTAGGACTCCCGTTTTTCCAAGGAAAGCATGGGGCATTTGAAACCAGGGTGGAGAAATGGAAGACTGACTTCATCCTCGCAGTCCGATCCATGCTTCACCTCCTCCGCGGAACCTCTCCTGATTCCAGGGCTCTGTGCTGCTTTCCTTTCTCTGGCTTCCTATCACATGCCACATTGCACCGCTTAGCACTGGACTGTGTCCTACTTTGGAATGCTCTCTCTCGGTTTTGTTCGCATGTTCCTTGCTTATCTATCAAGATAAGGCTGTTATGGCCCAGAACGTAAGTCAGGTCACAACTGCTGGAGGGAGACCGACTGGTGAGTGTGGGGTGGGTGGGGGTGAGGGCAAAGAACCGAAGTAGCAGTTGTATTTAGGACTCAGGAAGCAGTCGCTATCCAAGGAATATTGCCACTTGAACCCCAAGTTGTGGTCCAGGTCATGATCTGCCAGTCCTGGGCATCCAGGGAGAGGCAGGACAGGGCCCCCAAGGCACCCTCATGGGCCTGAGGTCAGGTAACCTGGTAGAGAGGCTGGGCTTGTGGACAAGAAAGCTATTCAAACTTACAAAATGGGGTCCTTCAGGAAGAGAAGACCTACCCCCAGGGGCTGACCTTGCCCACAAAATGCTAGCAGCCCCTCTGCCCACCGACTCCACCACCTCAGGGGGCTTCAGGCTGGAGACTTGACTTCCTCTCTCTCTCCTCACTTGAACTCTGTGACTGGTCGTTCTCTTTGCAGCTGGTCCCAGTATGCCTAACACTGTGAGTTAGTTCTTGATTCCCAAGCTGTCACCACCCAAGACTCCCAGATTGGTTCCCCTTTGACTCAAGCCTGCAGTGGCACCGGCTGCAGAAGTGAGGTCCTGCTTGTCAGTTCTTCACCCCAGGGTACCTGGAATTGTGCTGAGTACCGACTTGATGTCTGTCTGTTACCATACATAAACTCAGTTCCTCAAAATAAGGGTATACAGAGAGAATGTGAAAAATACCCTGCTGGTGATGGTGGGCCAGCTCCAGAGTCCACCTAAACTCCCCAGTTATCCTCTCTCCCACTCTCTACTTCCCCTTAAAATTAAGGAGACCCAGGTTCAAATCTGCCACTTACTATCCTGGAACACTGGGTAAGTTCATTAACCTCTCCAAAAGATGGAGATAATAAATCTTGTGGATGAGAGGCCTCCGCCCCCAATCCCCTGCGGCCAACTGGCCAGTCTGCTACAAATTTATCTCACACTCAAAAAGCAGACTCTAAAAATTGGTGCTCAATGAATACTTAGGGACTTGACCACTTGATTTGTGATCAAGGATATCAAGCCATAGGCAAGGACGCATTTACAGCAAGTGGGTGGACCCCCAGCACAGTTGTCTGGGCACTGGGAGGTCGGAATTCAGTATTTGGGGAAAGAGCTCATAGATGTGCACCACTAGATTATTTGCAAGGCTAGGCACAAACTCTCTTGAAAGACAAATCACCATATAAATATGTAACATCATAGCAGCATTAAGGCATGAGTCATGCTCACAAGATGGATGAAAGAATGAGGGAGGGGTCTCAAAGGGGAAGAGTAATGAAGGAGACAGGATCTTTCTGCTCAGGCAACTGCCCCACACTCAGTTTGCAAGGTTTTAGTATGTTTTTAATCACTTTACTATTACTTATAATACAAACCAATAGCAGGTGCCTGGTAGAAGAAGGAAATGATGATTCAAGCATGAGAGTCATTTTCCTATTGATTTCCTTTCTCTTCACTTCCTTTTGACCTCAGTAGAGAGAAGGCACAAGTCTCACTATTCAAAGAAACCATAACTCAGTCCTCACTCACGGACTTTAAGAAAGTGCTTAATATTTTTTTTCTTATGTCCTAGGGAACTACATTTCAGGTGTTTAATCATCTTTACAACTCCCAGATATTTGCGATTTATGGTAAGCATTTAAACTCAGTAGAAAAAAATAAAAACAGAGTGTCCTAAATTCAGGGTGAATTCCTACTCTCGTTATGGGTGTTAATTTATGATTCAACAATGATTTCAAGGCTTTTCCTCAGATCCTCTGAGGCTTGTATTTTCTTTTTATTCAGCCTGGTTTTATTCTCAGTGTCAAATGAATCACACATTCAATCACACAGAGCATAATGTCCCCTGCCCCATACCCATAACTAGAGTCTTAGTCTATGGAATTATGGAGCCCCTGGGAGGAAGACCAAGGTAGTCCTTGTGGTATCTCATTCCCCTGGTGATGAAAATGCCTAATCCTTCAAAAAACTGATTTGTTGGAGGTATAATTGACGTACAATATTATATTAGTTTCAGGTATACAACACAGTGACGTGATATTTGTATACATCGCAAAACGGCCACCACAATAAGTCTAGTTACCATCTGTCATCTCACAAAGTTCATACAATGTTCCTGACTATATTCCCCATGCCATACATTATATCCCCATGACTTATTTATTTCAGAAGTGGAAATCTGTACTTCATATCCCCTTCAGCCATTTCACCCGGAACACCTTCCCCTCTGACAACCACCCATCTGTTCTCTGTATCTATGAGTTCGGGTTTTGTTTTGCTTGTTTTGTGTTTTAGATTCCCCATATAAGTGAAATCAAGCAGTATTCGTCTTTCTCTGTTTGACTTACTTCGTTTAGTGTAATGCCCTCAAGTTCCATCCATGTCACAAATGGTAAGATTGCATTCTTTTATATGGCTGAATAATATCCCGTCATATATACATACTACGTCTTCTTTATCCATTCATCCATCAGTGGACGCTTAGATTGTTTCCATATCTTGGCTGTCGTAAATAACACTGCCATGAACATAAGAGTGCATAGATATTTTTGAATTAGTGTTTTTGTTCTTCAGACGGATACCCAGTAGTGGAATTGCTGGATCATATGGTGTCTTTACTTATAATTTTTTGAGGAAACTTCATGATGTTTTCCATAGTGGCCACACCAACTTAGATTCCCACCAACAGTGCACAAGGGTTCCCTTTATTTCACATCCTTGCCAGCACTTATTATTTCTTGTCTTCTTGATAACAACAATTCTGACTGGTGTGAGGTGATATCTCATTTTGGTTTTGATTTGCATTTTCCTGGTGATTAGTGATGTTGACATCTTTCATGTGCCTATTGACCATTTGCCTGTCTTCTTTGGAAAAATGGCTTTTCAAACTCTCTGCCCGTTTTTTAATTGCATTGTTTGTTTTATTGCTATTGAGACATATAACTTCTTTATATATTTTGGATACTAAGCCCGTATCAGATATATGATTTCCAAATATATCTTCTCCCATTCAGCAGGTTGCCTTTTCATTTGTTGGTGGTTTCCTTCACTGTATGGAAGCTTTTCAGTTTGATGTTACCCCATTTGTTTATTTTAACTTTTGTTTCCCTTGCCTTTGAAGTCAGATCCAAAAGAAAAATCACTAAGACAGATGTCAAAGAGCTCACCGCCTGTTTAATTCTAGGAGATTCATGGTTTCATAAATTATTTTAGGGTAAATGATTCAGTGGTACTATTCCAATCATATTATATAGGATACAGGATGAAAAAATACAATAAAGAAGCACCTATTATGTGCCAGACCCCGTGAATGGCTTTTCCTCATACATTATTTTATTTTATCCTATAAACAAACTTTTCACAATATTATCTTACTTTTACAAAACAGAACCTTATTAAAGAGATTAAAAGAATTAATTCATGCTACTCAGCTAGTAAATTGCAGAGCTGGGATTCAACTCCAGCTCTGTATTGTCTCCTAAATTCAGGAATTTGCTGCTCTAGCACTTTTCCATGGTAGGCTTTCTGCTTCCGGAAGCCACTTGTATTGACACCTATCTCCATACTTTCCTGAGCAGGAATTTGTGGTGCTTGGAGAGCGTGGTGCACTTTTCTCCATCCTCAGTCTCTCTTCTGGCCCTGATGCGATGCCACTCACTGCTTGCCACCCCAGTGAAAGATAAAGATCGAGCTGGCTACCCCGGTGCTGGCCCCAGGTTCATTAGGGGACCATCTGACTGGCACACTGGACAGTCCTCTGTGTCTTGGAACAACATGTTTTCCCTTCTCAGAGACCCCAGAGCCTCTCAGGAGCCCTGTTTTGCTCCTGACTCTGAAGAGATGCTCCTCAAAGGTGAGGTTGCAGAAGGGAGGGATCGGGAGTTGGGCTGCAGTGAAACTCTGCCCTAGACTACTGCTGCATTCTAACTAATCTGGAAATCAGAGCCAATTCTTCTCCATGCTCCTAGCCACCTAGGAAAGATCCTTGCAGAGGTTGGGGAAAGAGGAGACTCCTGCTCCATTCAGATGCAAGGAAACCGCAAATTCGGGACTAACCTGATATTGCAATGCTTGCACAAGCTCTTGAAAAGCAGGGAAAGAGCCACATGATGCTTTTAAGAAGCCATTTAGAGAAACAGCCTCATATAAACCCAGGAAGTACCAGTAAAGCTAGATGACCCCCTTCCCAACCCCAGTGGTCATTCATTCACCTGTTTATGTTTCAGAGACTGTTACTGGTGGCTCAGCCTCTTTCCCATCCTGATCATCCTGATCCCACCCAACCAATTGGCTTTTAGACCTGCTAATAGAAGAGCTGGCAACAGTCAATCACAGCAGTACCAGGAAGATAGCTGCTTCCTCCCTCCTTCCATCACTGAGCTTCTCTAGGGAGAATGCGTTAATGCAGGAGCTCCTGAGACCAACGGGTCTTGTAACTCACAAGGTGGCTTTAAGAACC